TGCTGCTGATCTGTTTCATGTTGCTGCTGATCTGTTTCATGTTGCTGTGTTCATTCGTGCTCATCTGCTCACACAGACTCATGTTCGTGCTGCTGTTTGACGTAATGTTTTTATGTTATGAGTACTTAGTGTATTTTTAGTTGATGTTTTTCTTAGTTCATATCTTAGATCTTATCACTGTTTTTCTTTTACATTTTATTGTTGGATGTAACTGGGACCCTGCGTACATAATCTCATTCCACCACATGAGATGCGATTAACAAATAAATCTGACTCTGACTGACTCTGAAATGTACGGTTACAGAACGAAATGAAAATTAAACATTTGTTACCGTGTTCACTAGGTGGACAAATTGCAGAAACTAAATGGAAGCACTGAACATCTTTCACCACCAGCCTCTGCCCTAATTTTCTCTCTTTAAAAGCTTGAATCACTTCCTGGTCACATAGTCATGTGACTTAAAATAAAGCTTTTTTTCTGTATAATTAACATGCTATGCATCAAATTTCCCCCTGGGATGAATAAAGTATCTGTCTGTCTCTGTCTGTCTGTCTCTATCTGTCTGTCTCTGTCTGTCTGTCTGTCTGTCTGTCTGTCTGTCTCTATCTGTCTGTCTGTCTGTCTATATCTGTCTGTCTGTCTCTGTCTGTCTGTCTGTCTGTCTCTGACTGTCTGTCTGCCTGTCTCTGTCTGTCTGTCTGTCTGTCTGTCTGTCTGTCTGTATATAAACCATAAAACTATAAGAAGCTACTAAACATCTGACATGCATCAATACACAATAAAAAAAGGAAATAAAAAATGATCATGACCACAGAGACACATCTGCAGCATTCAGCAGATGTTGCCATGGAAATGTGCAAACTAAAACTCTGCCGCTCGTTAAAGATATTTAATGTGTAACTTTGCCGTGAATAATTGTGAGAAACTGTCAGTGTAGATTAAATGGGTGTGGTTTTCCTCGGTCTAAAGATTGTTTACCAGGGGTTCTCAAACTTTTTGGGTTCAGGGACTACAGGGGAGAAAAAGTTTCAGGGACCCCCTCATAACCCTCATGTTTATTAAATAATTTTCTTCAATTTGTCTCTTTAATGCAATGGAAATATTTGTGTAACATAAATACTGAAGACCTGTTATTTAATAGTGTTAACACAATTTTTATACTTGTAAACATGGGAGTATTTTTCATTCAAGACGCACCTAATTAACAACATTTTTAATTTCAACTTCCAAAAATTACAGTTTAAGAGAAAAAGTATCAAAAACCACTTTAAAACTTTACGTATTCACATAATGAACATAATAAATATATTGACACCTCTTCAAATTATTACAGAAAACTCTTTCCATGAAACTGAACAGAATCATCACAGCAGCAGTCAGACCAAGAAACAGGGCTTAATTTGTAAACTGATCCATGCTGCAACGTAAATAGCGGACAGGAGCGAGAGGTCTGGGAGGCATTTTGGTTTATTTTAATGAGTTGTTAAACATCTACGTGCTTGTAAAGAAAAAAATATATATATATTTTGCAGACCAGTAAGCACCGGCTCACGGATCGGCCCCAGTTTGAGAACCACTGGTTTAGACTATATTTAAAAGAAGGCATGCATATATGTAAACCACAGTGCATGGCAACATACTGACTTTGAGCATCTGATTGGCTTTTAGTATCTGTACAAAGGTCAGCCAAGAATGCCTCTTGAATGAGAAGTTAAATAAACAAAAGGGAGTACAACCGCTTTTGATTCAACTTGCTAGGATTATGTAGCTACACCTACACTTTATTATCCCGACAGGACAACTGGATAAACGCTTATGGTGGGTGAACGCTGTTCCCTGTTCAAAGCTTCTTTTTTTTTAAGTTTTTTATCGACATTACAAACATTTGTCTGCCAGGGGTGTATTAACAGGTAGTGTTCAAGTATATAAACAAGAACAAGACAAGTGTAAAAATGTACAAAACAATCTATTTACAGGTTATATAGATAAATTCACATAAAGGTTTTCTAGAACTGATTTGGTTTTCTTTGTGTTTTTGTTTAAAGTTCCTTGCTGAGGCGGGTTGTGTTAGTGCCTGCAGCCGTCGCTGCCTCTCAAATACCGGAAGTAGTCGTTTTGTTGTTGCACCACAGCTGTTGTCATGTGATAGCCTCTCAGGGAAGCTGCTCTGGACAGAGGCTTCTCACTCTGAGCGCAGGAGAAAGTAAAAGAGCTTTATGTTCGTCGTGGAAGAAGAACACGGCTCGTTCTGAAGGAGAGCAGGGGAAGCCGGGGTTGTGTAGTTTGACCCCTCGGACGCTTCAGCCATGGGTTGCTGTTACAGTGGCGAGGACAACAGCTCAGGAGAGGTAGCTAGCTGCTAGCTAGCGGCTAATAACACCGTTCTGTTTCAAACTAAACACTGCTGCCATTTCATGTTCTTGGCTTTGGTTATTGAACGAGTCAAGTAAAGTGCGTCCCTGTTACCAGGGGGTCGCTTTGTGACAGCTAATGTGAAGCTAAAAAGCAGCGTTAGCTTGTGTTGGCTTGTGTTAGCTTGTGTTAGCTTGAGCCTGCGGAGTGGGCCTGACAGCTCAGAGGACAGTTACAAAGAACAAGTCACTTTAAGTGGTCAAGTGTGTGCCATTCTTCCTGTTCTTCTAATGTCTGGCCATGACACAGCCATGAGTCAAATCTGAGAATATGGGAAAGACTGACTTATTTACCTTGTCTTGTTTTTAGCAATAATCTGTTTTCCAAAGAGCAAAATTGATGTTTTGAATGTACATCGTGTCATGTGACTGAATGTCCCCGTTTTATTTTAGTTTAAGGAGTGACGTCTGCACTTCCTTAATGCAGAAAATCTTTCCTCATATGTAGTTTTTATAGTAGTGTGTATATAAATATATACTTTTTTAATACGACGATTTAACTAAAATAACAGATTGCTTATTTTACTTATTGCATAGATGCTGAAATTAGCTTCTTTTTTTAACTCTATGTACAAACAGAATACTTCCCTTTTTCTGCAGATGTGACTTTATCCTCTTTCTTTTCCAGTTTGATTGTACAGCACCTTGTTTTTCAAACCCGTTACAACAAGACAGCGTGCTATTTGCTTTATATTTTGAAGCTAGAAGAAATTAAAGAGGTGTTCTGGTTTTAACACAGTTTTGTTAATATTTTAGGGTTGGCACTGAATTGATTCCAGTTAAACAATTATAACAACAATGGTGTTCAAGTTGAGCAGAGCTGTTTAGTGTGCGATAGTGACGTTTCATACATTTTGATTCGTCATTGATTTGTTCTGCAGCCCTAACAGGGATCATGTCGGATAAACATTGTTGAAAAATATCGGTAGCTGAGCAGAACCATGAAACGTTTTTAACATAGTACTTTTAGTTTTGTGTACTCTAGATAAAGGGGGAACATTTAAGTGTTCCTATGCATTGGATGAATGCCTAATCAAGTTAGTTTGTTTTTTTTATAGTTGGCAGTTTGTTAGAATGACGCAATGCTGTCTTTCAATTTTATTCTGGCTCTGCTCTAGAAGAGCAGTGAGACAGACCCACTGATTCCACCACCAAACCCTACCAGCAAACCTCCAAATGGGACAGACTGGATCACCACCAACGTCCCGTCTGCACGAACAGATGAGCAGGCCCTCCTTAACTCCATCATCACCAAGACTGCACAGTAAGATACTTAATTTGACTCCAATCACATTTATTCTGTTCATAAAACCTCAATTTTAAGATGCATTTTTAATTTATTTACGCTTCTTGTCCTTTAGGAACATAATTGATGTGTCAGCAGCTGACTCTGTCGTGATGGAGCAACATGAGTACATGGACAAAGCTAGGCAATACAGGCACGTAGAAGAGAATTAGTTACTTTATTTTTAAGTTATTGTATTTAAAGAATGGGAGTCATAAGACAAAGATAAATTTTAGTAAGAGATGGACGGGGATTTCTTTTTCTTATTTAAGGCAAACTAACCGCACAGTTTGTTTTTGAGATTTAGAATATTAGGATAATGGAGTGTCTCCTGGACGCTTCCATTTAAAGGTTTTCCGGGCACATCCCACAGGTAGGAGGCCCCGGGGGAGACCCAGAACTTTTTGGAGGGATTGTGCATCTTCTGTGGTGTGGGAATGCCTCAGGGTCCCCAGGACGGGCTGGGGAGAGCGATGTGTGGGTTTCTCTCCTAGACCTTTTACTTCTGCAACCAGATGACAGATACGTGGTAGAAGATGGAGATGGAGTCGTGTAACGACGTTTTAGTTGTGGGGGCAGGGGGTGAACATGACAAGAAATTCCAGTGCCAAACACAGGTGCTTGAGGAGAATGTGAGGGAAGTGATCGAGTCAAACATTTCCTATTTATCTTTATTCTTGGCTTTTGTGGCATCTAGTGGGGGGTGGGTAGTTTGTTCTCAGAGCAGAGCCGTGGTGTTTAGACGGAGCTGCAGGTGTAGGTTCTCACAACTCTGTGTTCTGTTGTGAGATTAGAGGATGTAATCCAGGCGAAATGTGTTTTAATCTAAACTGTTTCTTTTTCTTCTAGTACAAAGCTGGCTGTGCTGAGCACCAGCCTTCATCAAAAGAAAGCCCTCACTCTTCCCTCCTTAACAAGCCAGCCTCACCAAGTGCTCGCAAGTGACCTGGTGCCACACTCAGACGTTCAGCAGGTCCAAGATCTTGGCTTCAGTAAACGAGTGAACTGTTTTTCTTGTGTCACACAGCTCAATAATTCCCCCTCTCCCTCCCTTTGCAGGTGTCAAAGATAGCAGCTTATGCTTACAGTGCAATCTCTCAAATCAAAGTGGATGCTAAAGAGGAACTGGTGGTCCAGTTTGCCATTCCCTGATCCTGAGACTTTAAACCTGCAACACTTCGTCCCACCCTCCCTGTGTCGCTCCACAATCCTCGTTCTCCAGCCCCAGCCTTTTATTAAAGCGTTTTTGGTCCTCGTTCTTTTTAGTCATGTCTCTGTTAAAGGCAGATGTTGGGTTTCACTCAGCTGTTAGGGACATTGTGAAGGGGCAGTGACGTTCGTCAGATGGCAGACAGGCAGTGCAAGATGGTTTGCTGCAGATGAAAACGGCCGCCTCCGTATTCAATGCAGATATCACAACTTTTGTTTCATTTGTGGGGAAGATGTGCACGTTCTACAGTGATTTCTACGATTTTCTTAAAAAGTTTTTGGTGCCTAGTTTTTTAATCGAGTCCTTTTGTCTGTATGTTCTGGCGTTATCTGAAGATTTGCTGCACACCATGTTTAACCACCAGAGATGAAGGATTTGTGGTTCATGATGGTTTTACTGGACAGAAACCTGAGAGGTTTCATGTGGGCTGAGTAGACCCTTTCAAGTTGTATTTTTATGTATGATGGTTTCAAATTCTTAGTTTATTACTAGGATATAAGCCAAATTGCAGCACGGCTTCACATTTGTTCTTTATGTGACTTAAACCTTTTAGTTATTCGTCCATTCCTCGGTTTAAACGGTAAAAATGTCAGAATCTTAACTTTATAAAAGTTTTTTTTTTGTTTTTTTTTCCACAAAAATAGTCAGTTGGCATCAAAAACCATCACATCACCCTGACCGAAGGACATTTTATAACAAACTTTTCTTAAAACCTGGGAGTTAAATGAGGCTTTGGTCATTTATTTATTAATGTAATCTTGTCTTTCAAACAGAAGCCCAATTATTTTAAAATCCTGTTTAAAGGTGATTTGTGGTGGGTGAGGATGCAGACGATCAGGGGACTGCCTAGTGATGTCACTCCGAGCAGGAGATTTTTATTTTTTTTTATTTTTTGAAGCACAAGGCGTGTTTTAAGCTTCAACAAACATTAAGTATTTACAGGCAGCGGAGTAATTCACAGTTGGAGAGCAGGGTGGGGGGAGGATACAGGACTACTGTGTTTTCCTACCTTTGTACAGAACTTTGAGGTCTTTATTAACAGCTGATGTATGATGCTTTTTTTGTTTGAGAGTGAATTGATCAGACTCATTGGATGAGTTTGTTTTTTTAATAAATAAAAGCTACACTTTTAGGACCCTCCATTGTTTATTTTTCTCAAGACATTGATAAGTAACCAGCGTAGCAGCGTGGAAGGCATTTTGTCTATCGAAGCAGGTTTAGTCATCTCTTACCTATTTATTTCTGGATTATTTCCTAAATGTTTTGTGCTTTTGGAAAAAGAGCGCAGCGCTCGGAGCACTGCGAGCTGTCGCTAAAGGGATTTAATTATTTATACAACTGATCTGAGCTTTCATCGAATGTCTTCGACTTGTTTGCGCCTGTTTGTTACTCAGATATGTAACACACAAAGACTGTATGTTTGTAATATCTTAGACTTGTACCAAAAAGTTTGAAACGTTTTGTTTGCTTTGGGTTTAATCGGTTAATTAAAACCCTTCAAAAGAACGCTCATGCTTTTTAAGTTTTTTTAAGAAAATGCTCACTTAAAAAGTAGTTTATTTAGTGATGTCACTCAGGCTGCCACAGACAGTAAGAATTTTTACTAAGCTGATGGACTGGAGACCAGTCCAGGGTGCCCCCCGCCTCTCACACAGTGACTGCTGGATATGGGCACCAGTGACCCACAAAGGGAAGAAGCGGGTAAAGATGATGGATGGATAGAAAAAGAAAGTTTCACATTGATCCAGACAACAAATCACTTTGTTGCAATTTGTAAAACTCAATTTTTTTAATTTTTCAGCAGGTTTCTTCATTCCCATCACTAAGCCAGTAAAAATAGAAAATATAATGCTTGATAAAAATGGTAAATTAAGTGTTTCAACAGTAAAATCCAGATAGAAAACAGGATCTTTTACCAGGATTAATGAGCATGAACTTTGATGTTTTGAACCACTTTGGCCCCAGAAACCATCTTGTCACCACCAGCAAACTGGTTGGTCCACTGTGTGGGTGGAGCTTATGGGACTCTTGCGGCTCCTCGGACTGATGAAGTCCTTTGGATGAAGGACGAAACATCTCCAAAATAAAAAATCAAACATCCAGATGACCTGACTGAACTTTGTTGGATTTTCTACCTGTGTTATTGAACATGAACTTTGACGTTTCAAGTGTTATCGAGTTCAGTGCATCACATGACAGGATTATGTTTTGTGCACAGCAGTGGAAGCATCAACCCCTTTGAGAAATATGAAAATAATCTTTTCAGTGTAAAGAAGTACATAAAAGTTTGAACAATTAAGTTTATTTAAAGTATAAAAATTCAAATACTGTGAGCAAACGTGCATGGTCAAAGTTCTGTTACTTCGTATTGTTTAAATGAATGTGGGTCCTGTTCATCTATTTTACTTCTGTTTGTCTTTTTCTGAATTAGATGAAGTCATTGTGAACAAACAAAAAAATCTAGAAAATTTTTAATGAATTTCCAGTAAAAAGGTCTTGGAAAAGGATGGTGCAGTTCTAGACGGCCATCATCGAGTCCATCCTCAGCTCCTCCATCACGGTGTGGTACGCCGGGGCCACTGCCAGGGACAGACTCAGACTGCAGCGCGTTGTGCGCTCAGCTGAGAAGGTGATCGGCTGCAGCCTTCCATCCCTCCACGACCTGTACGTCTCCAGGACTGTGAGGCGAGCAGGTCGGATCACAGCTGACCCTGCTCACCCTGCACACGGACTGTTTGAACCACTCCCCTCAGGCAGGAGGCTTCGGTCCATTCGGACCAGAACCTCCCACCATAAGAACAGTTTCTTCCCCTCTGCTGTTGGACTCCTGAACACTCATAATGCTACCTCATAATGTCTGCTTTGGTCACATTACATCTGTATTATAACTGAATACTCCATCTGTACTGTTTTCAAAGCTTTTTTATTGTTTTCTATTGTATGGGTGTACATATGGTTATGTTATGGTTTTAATTTTACTTTATTTGTGGGTGTACACAGGCTTATGTCTTGTGTAATGTTCTCATTTTTACTTTATTTTTACTTTATTTTACTTTACTACTATTCGCACCTTATGTCGAAGCAAATTCCTAGTTTGTGAACCTCGTTCATTGACATGGCGATAATAAACTAATAAACTGATTCTGATTCTTAAATTGGTAACACTTTACAATAAGGTACACAACATTTGATTAACTACTAGGGAACGAATCAACAAGGAGCTAATGGATAGTTAACCAGTACGTACTGGGGAGCACACAGCCAAGCCTTATTAGGGGGCTACTGGTTTGTTACCAGAGAAACAGAGGAGAAATTCTCTATTTGGGTTCTGAATAAACCCTGCACCAGTGAGGTCACAGCTTACTTTGTCAAAAACCTGTTTTCGATTACTGGTTTTATTGGATTTTCTCTTTTGTAAACCTATTGATGAAAGACACGGTCAGTTTCATAATGTTGTACTGGTGTCATCTTAACTATGTCTGACTATCACTGAGTACCAAATCTTTGCCTGGTTATTATTTTGTTCACTGATGTTCACCCCAGTAAGTACTGGGTAACTACCTATTAGTTCTTGATTAGTTCCTCTTCATTTACAAGGTAACTAGCCAGTAGTCCCCTAATAAGGCTTGGCTGTGTGTTCCCCAGTAAGTACTGGTTAACTACCCATTACTTCCTGATTTGTTCCTGAGACGTTCCCTAGTAGTTAATCAAATTTTGTGTACTTTATTGTAAAGTGTTCCCCTTTAAGTTGAATAAAAAGTTGAATGGGTTCACAGGACTGGACTCCGTCCTTGCTTTCTGCTGCGGCTGTTTCCTTGATGCCAGAACTTTGCCAGAACCCGCTCCTGTCGTGTCACGGCGCTGAAGTCCACCGTCTTCAACTGGGGCAAAGCAGAAATCACACGACTCCTACACAGCACACAAGAAGTTATATCAGCTCAAACAAAACTGCTGAAGGACGTCGCAAAATAAAAAGAAGGTTCTGCCCATGATGATACTTTTCACCATAAATCAAGCTGCATGGATCCATAAGGAATTCCCAGTGTGGAAGACCCATTTTAACTGGAGCTACTGGGGTCACATTAATACTGAGTGTGGGTGTTTTTAAACACAGTTGCTTTGCAGACATTTTTTATTTAAACTTTATTTACACAGGTAGTCTCATTGATTCATGAGAACTCATTTTCAAGAGAGACCTGTTTGGGAGCAGATGTTGGGGGGTTAAGGGCCTTGCTCAAGGGCCCAGAGTGGGGCAGATGAAGGTGGAGGCAGGTGTGAGTGTTTCACCTTTTCCACCCACATTTTGATGTCAGTCTGTGGAGTTGAACCTGCGACTTTTTGATCACAGGTCCATCTTCTCTAACCTCTGCGCCACCATTAGATCTGTGTTTAAGCAGCTGTTGCAGAGCTCATGCAAACTTATAAAGCTCTCATCTCAAATTTTAAACCCTCCCTCTGCATTTAGGATCTGTAAAGTTACTCACTTAAAGTAATTTTTTAGTACTTTGTGTAGTTACATTTTTATTAAATATATCACTGTGGCAACCTCTGGAGAGGGAAAAGCCAAAAGAAGCACAGGCACGTCTACCTGTAAGCCGCGTTTGTCTCGATGGGGTTTCCATGCAGAGTGATGGAGTGAAGATGCGGCAGCACTCCCAGCCTGTCCACCTCTGACAGAATGAAAATGTTGTTCCCATGGAGATATAATACACGGAGCGCACGCAGCTCGCACAAAACCTGCAACATATTCAAACACAATCTACTCCTGCAACATGCAATACAAAGCATTTTAAACGCTTCTATAAATAGATTTATTGTTTAACACAAGAAGAAGTTAACACCTGGTCTATATGTAGGATTTTGTTAAAGGAAAGGTCGAGCCAGGCGAGGTGTGAGGGTTCAGCCAGGAAGTGGCTCACGGTGTTCTGGAGGTCGTGCACTTCAGTGATGCTGTTGTTATTAAGACGGAGAGAACAGCTCATGTACTTCCTCTCTGGATTTCTCTTTACAGGCCTCAGACTGCTCCTGGGCTCCACTGTTAATGCGTCTAAAACAGTAAAATAAACAGTTAACAACACGCTAAGTACTGTGAGAAAATACTGATAAGCTGACGTAGGACTGTGCATCACAGGAATGAATGCACATCACAAATTATGAGTTTATTCTTGAGTTTCATGGATGGCTGCATGTCCTGAGCCTGGTTCTGCTAAAGGTTTCTTCCTCATGAGGGAGTTTTCCTTTCCACTGTCGCCTTCATGCTTGTTCAGGATGAGAGTATGTGACAAAGTTAAGATTCAAAGCAGTCTGCTCCTCAGATAATTAATGTAAAATTTTTATTTTTATATATGAATGTTTCTGTTTAGTGTCCTGACATGATTTCTGTTGTGACTTGGTGCTGTATAAATAAACTGAATTCAAGTGAAATTGTATTAATTTAGTAAATCACACTCAAAACAAATGCATTGACCACATTATTTTTAGACTGCCTGCAAAGCAGTTTATTTTTCATGACCAAGTAGGTACAAATAATAGATCTAATTCACAAAACAGTTCTGCAGATTTCAAATAAAGTTAAAGGAACTTCAATTTTTCTTTATCTTAAATCAGACATAAAATATTGTATATGGATTTCTTAACGAGAACAGCCAAAGATTGTTCAACAAAATATTAATTCCCCCCCACCTACAAAGAAACTAAAATATAGATTCACTCTGTACTTTCTGCAATTTAAGTGTATTATTTTATTTTTATGTTTGCCATTTTATTTTTCAAAAGGAAGATTTTGGTCCCAAATGTCAAGAGGAGCTACAACTCGTAATTCCTTTACAGTGCATCAAACAGTATGGTTGTATAACATTTGTAGAGACGATTTAGAAATCACCTGTCAATTTGAAGATATTTCTAAAAGATAAATCTACTGGAGCTCCGTGCATCGTTGTGACACCCGTGAACGCCTCACGCGCCTGCAAACACAACACGAGCACGTTTGAGAAACACGTTTATTGCTGCTGCATTTCATTTCATCATTCTAATACAACTTACCGAGCTTCGAGTTCAAGCTGTGAAAATGACAACAATCCGTTTCCACGGAAACTGAAACGAACAAATGCCTTCTGGGAATTGTAGTTTTCCAGTCAAACTGACCCTTTCGTACAGGATTTTGTTAAAACGTGTTAATTTAGTAGTTAAATTTTTTGGGGGTAAATATAATTTTCTTAAAACAATTCTTAATAAATAAAACTTTTTCTATTTATACGTGACATGCAAGAATATAGCTGTCCTCACGTAAAGCGATGATAAGAACAGCTGCGGCATTCTAAAAACATTAAACTGTGAAAAATAAATGTTAATATGTTAATACATTGTATTTGAACTATTTTTGTGCGTGTCCAGGAAGTGCGGAACGAGCGGGATTTGCTGGTGTTGTGTCAAAAAATGTAATAGCTGCCGTCAAAGTGTTCCTCCGAGGGAAAGACACTTTCAAAAGAGACAAGGTTGGTTTTTAGTACGCTAAAGGAAAACTCACCAAGAACAGTGTTTATAAGTGATTTAATGACAAACAAATGCGTTATTTTTAATCGGTAAAGAGTTACAGCTACATAATGAACTCGATCTACCACAATCTTCTTTTTCAAGGAGTTTGTGGCGTGGGTGTGCGCATGTCCTGTTGTCATAGCCTGTCATTAAAAGCAACCTGTGTAGCCAGTTTAAATATTAATATATGAAAAAGTTTTCTAATAAAATCAACAAAGTTTTTATGACGGGGAGTTTCAAATGGGAGGTGTGCTTTCTTCAATACAACTCCTAAACGTTGCGACGTCGGTGCAGCTTCCGGGTTTTTCATCCAATCAGAATTTGTCTCTTTTCTTGTGCGTCGATACGTGCAAACTGATTGGTCAGTTCAATCTGAATCCCCATTTTGAAATCGTTCCGTTTCACGTCAAGAGTGTTTATTCGGAGTAGACTCGTTGCAATGTAAGGACAACGAGGCAACACGACTCAGTTAAATAAAAAGGATTGTTTTTTGTGGGTAAGTCGCTGCGGCATGGCAACATTTTATTTTATTACCGTTGGTGTTTTATTGTAACGTTGCTAAATAAATACAGCTGACTTTAGCTCAAAACTAAATTAGCCTTTGACGGATATAAGGAAATATATTTTCATAACTCTTACAAGCTGTGGAATAAGTTCGGATCATGTAACGTGAGCTGTTTTAAGTAGCTGCATGCTTTAAACGTGTTGTTTGTTACAGTTTGAAAACTTCTGGTCATTCCTGTTAAAATGTTGAACCAGTGGGTCAGGGCCCTTCTCAGCTGGGTAAGTTAACACTACCACTAGTTATAGGAACATGCACTGCTAAACAATGACTCGTTTTATTTTAAAACATCTTGCAGGTGGACAGTGTGAAACTTTCTGATCAGCTGCTTCAAATAGACAATTTAAAGGATGGGACAATCCTGTTAAAATTGATTTATATGCTGTAAGTAGGAGTCATGTTTTTCCAAAATGTCTAATTTGTGTAAACAAGAGCAGGTTGTTGGTGAGTGGTGAACAATTAATTGCTTGCCATCAATTTCATGTTTTTGCGTGTCATTATAGGAAAAAGGAAACGGACTACACCGTCAGTAATTCGGTTGAGGAAAGGTTTGATTTAATTTCAGAGTTTTTACAGCGTAAGTTGTTTTTCTTTATTTATATGGAAGTTTTAAAGTTGTGATTTGTGTTTGTCCATACATAGCACTGTCAGATTAATGAACCCCTCAACCCCGTCTTATTTTATTCTTTTGCCGTTTTGTACCCATGTGCTAACTCTGTACTGCATTTCTGGTTAATTTGTTTGATTTTCACGTAGATTAATTTAATAACTTGTTAACACACACTCAATACCACATTTTTGTGAGTGGGGTGACTTTGAGATTATTAAAACAAGTTTATCTGTTTTGTCTGTTAGGCGAGTGCAGATTTAATCCATTGATGGGATCATTTATATCATGGGACGGCATAAAAACTGGAAACAATTTCACAGTTGAAATTGCAAAGGTTTGGGAGTAATAAAAAAAGTTGTTAATTTAATAAACAAAATATTAATTCTGACAGTTTTTGTTTACATCATTAGGTCTTGCTATTGCTGGTTTACCATGATATGATGAATGAACGCTGCACTTTAGGCACATTAGAATGTGAAGTTGAGGTAGGCATAAAAATATTATTATACCATGTGCTTCCCTTTTATTTTAATAAACGTTAATATTTAAAATTGTATTTTAAATTCTGTTGGGTTCTCTTTTTTTATTTTTAGAAACAACTTGCTTATCTAACAGATACCTATGTGCTGGAGAGTTATGGCAGTGTGTCTCTCAATGAGAAAGTTGAACGCATTTTGTCAATGAAACGTAAGTCACTATTTTTTTTAATGATATTCCACATTCAAAATTAATTGGTGTCTGTACCTGGTTTGGACGTAACTTACAGACTGTAAACTATAATCTCTGCCTCAGGTTTGTCCGTCTTCAAGGAAATCCACGAGCAGCTGGCGAGCACATCTTCTTCCAGTGTATCAGCAGCCTCCCTGCTCTCAGAAGATGACTCTCCCGTCTTTCACCGCACTAAGACCGTTGCATTTGTGGATACTGAAACTGTGGCATCTTCCTCAGTCAGGTATTTATGTGGATTTGAGCTCAATCTAAACAGGAGTTTACAGCACTGATCCACTGATCTGCTTACCTTGTTGATCTGCTTTTATTTCTACAGCAAGTCCCCACTGATGGATGTTATGAATACTCCTAAATTTCAGCTAAGAAAAATGCAAAGACAGTTGGTCAAGGAGGCGGATTATAGAGACGGTTTGGAGAAGGAGCTGGCCAACGCTCTTACACTTGGACAACAAAGAGGTATTACATTTATCACTGTAGGCACCACTTATTCTGATTTGTTTCCTCTTGCTTTTTTTTTTTTTTCAAATAAAACTCTACTTCATAATTTGTCATTTTTCAGAATCTCAGATCAATCAGCTGCATTACAACATTAAAAAGCTAAAAGAAGATAAATCAAGTCAAGAGCAGACCACGAGAGAACAAATCAGTGAGCTTGAGACCAGGAATGATGCGTAAGTACCCAAGGATGGAGCTAAACAAGTTGATTAAATCCAACAGTTTTCAGTCAGGTTTGTGTACCTGGATTATTGAGCATGGACTTTGTTGGTTAAGTTGATTAAATGTTTAAATGACCCCTGAGTCCTATTTAATAATTCAGCTGCCTGATCATGCAAGGCTGGGTTGCTCTCGTGTTGTGGTATATTTAGTTCTGCACCCCAACAACTCCAAACATACCTCGTGTTTTGACGGTGCTTGTAATGAATTTGAGATTAAGACGACATTTAATTATTATACTGACAGTTTCATGAGAAAGTTTAGAACTAGCATGGGGAAAATCTTCTTGTCTAACTTTTGATTTCAGGTTGCAAATGCGTTTTAATGAGATTGTAAACCAGAATAAAGAGCTCAAGAATACTTCTAGACTCATGGAGCGGAAAGTAGACGAGCTTACGGAAGAATGTGGTACTCTCTCGTCTCAGGTTGGTGCATGTTATGTAAGCTTCTTCAGTTTGTGTACTGTTTGCAGTGTTCTCCAGAATGAAAATTTGTCTTCAAACTGAAAGGTGACGATCTCCATCTGGGTCTCAAACTCAAATGTCTTCCTGCATCTTATTTATGAGTTCTTTGAAAACTCTAAACTAAATAAAAAATCTTAGTTTTTCTGGAAGACTGGGGATATATGCTCCAAAAGGAGGGGAAATTACTGTAAATTTTCACCTTTTAACTACAATCTGTGATTTACCGGGTTCATTTGATCACAAATGTTACTTTACAGATGGTGGGTTTGATATTCCAAGGAGAGGAGACAAATTTTCATTAAGTGTTTGAACTACCGTCATGTCAGAAACCTTATAAAAAAAGAAGAGCAAAAACTTGAAAGTAGCTTCCACTTCCGTCTTGAGGATATTTAAAAAAAAAACATTTAAGATGTGGTCTCTGAATGCTTTAATGAATGTAATAATAGGTTTTCTGTAAATCACATGTATGTTATCCAGCTGTATTATAAAATAAATAATTTTGCAGTCGGCTCATGAAACTACACACTTTCCATGTTTTTATATCACAAGATTTTAACATAGGCCTGATGGTAAACTCGTTTTGTTTTTTCAGCTGAGAGCATTGTGTTCCCAGCTGACCATCTCTGAGGCAGAAGTTGTGAGACTGACACAAACTCTGACCTCTGCCGAGGACAACTGGGGAAGCGACAGAAGCCATCTCACATCTGGACTCAACGCGGCAACTGCACAAAAGGTAGACTAATTATAAAACAAAAGGTTTCACAGCAACAGTTTTTAATTTTAGTTAATCCTATATCATAACTGCAAACCATTGTGCTTTAAAAGCTATAATTTTATATTGTTATATTTTGAGAATTGTGGAAATTTGTCACGCTCAAAGAGTTTCTATTTTCCTTCTGTGTTAATATTGGGTTTGATAGTTAATCAGTGCGTCGTGCCTTTTTGTTTTTTAGGAACTCCTGACAGAACAAAATCAGATCCTGCAAGGAAAACTTTCCTGTTTAGAAGATGAAATGAGAAAGGCCACAAAGGAGGAAGAAGGAGAAAATATGGGTTCTGTAATGGAGGTAAAATCTTCCTTATTTTAGTCTACAAACAATTAGTTATAAAACTTAATTGAGAGGTGGAGTTATATTATTTGAATTATTTTATTATATTTATTTATTATATACACACACACACACATATATATATATATATATATATATATATATATATATATATATATATATACATATTTCTGTATATTTTATATTTATTTGGATTATTGTTTTAATATATTATATGGAGTTAGAGTGTTCTATTAGGTATTTACTTGGTGTCTTTTTCTCTCTCTCAAATTACAGAGAATGTTGGAGGCTGAAATTTGCAGTCTTAAGAATGAGCTTGATTCCACGCTTTGCTCCCTGAAACAAGTAGAAGTTGACATTCAGACAAAAACCCAGAAAAT